CTATCTATCTATCTATCTATCTATCTATCTATCTATCTATCTATCTATCTATCTAACTGCCCATCTATCTATTGCCTTGTCAGCTCTACTTTCTTTTTCTGCGCCTCAAACAGTGGTGCAGTATGCACATAATTCTGCAATAAATACACGAGTCAGACTGGGGAATAATATTATCGTTTATCCTTTTGTACATTACTTCAAAAAATGACTCTTAAGGGATAAGTATAGCGCTAATAACGAGATTTTATCTGAAACGACGGGGAGCACGTTAGGTCCTATCCATCATACCTCTTTGTTGATACTTGTTCTCTACTTGGCAATCAACGTCGTCGGGAGTTCAGGAAATATCTCCGAAGATCCGCACCACTAAGTCATCAATAGAAAAATGCTTTGGGCATCATTCTCCTTGACAAAGTCCAACGAATATAACCCTGTCCAGTCAACGAGGCATCCAGAAGATTGAGGTACACTTTAGCTTGAGTAAATAGAGTGTAACCATCAGTGGAAAAAAGAACACAAAAAGAAAACTCCAAACGAGGTGGAAATGAACCCTGTTTGACTTTATGGTAACTCAAGTCCTGACTGTCTCTTCACCAGTTTGCTCACACTCTGCTGGCCAGACACGAGCACACACGCGCACACAAACACGGGCGCAGACACAGGAAGGAAATCCACCTGGACAGCGCGTGGAAAAACCACCATCGACTTGTAAATAAATGGATTGCTATCGATTTTTGTGTCGCAGAGGTGTGTCCGACTGGGCTTATCTTAGTACATGACTATTACGTTCAGAGCTGGACGACCCGAAAGATAGTCTTGGTAATAACCAAAGTAATAATCTAACTTGCCGTGAAGTCACTATCCTGATTGTTTCCTGCCAATAAACCTGCTATGTGACGTGTTAGTCTTGAAAGTACAAACACACGATTCTTTCTCCTTTATTTTGTTTAACATTTTTTACGTCATCAGAGAAGTAACAATGCCAAATAGTTTTAGCACTTGTGGGAACTGTTCAAGAGGAATACGAAGTTATAAAACCAAGCAATTACCCAAAATGTTGACTGAAAGTGTAATTTTTAAAAAGAAGTAGAGGTGGGGTGGGGTGAAGTTGGGTGGGGTTGGGGGGGGTGAACGATTAGCTTAGGGGGAAGAAAATCAACTTAGCAAAGCTGGCAGCAACCAGAATGTATGGCCCACACAGTGGAAAGATGGAGAGAGGGAGAACAAAAGAGAAGGCGAGAGAGAAAGAGAGAAAAAGAGAGAGAGAGAGAGAAGGAGAGAGAGACGGAGAGAAAAAGAGAGAGAAAGAGGGAGAAAGAGAGCAAGCGAAAGATGGACAGAATGAAACATAGAAGAGAGAGAGGGAAAGAGAGAGAGGGAGAGGGGGAGGGAGAGAGAGAGG